GCGGATGGAGCACGACAGGCACCATGGACGAAGTTCGGGATTACCGAGGACATGTTCAAGTTGCGACAGAAATGGGGATGTTGTTTGTGGTGCAACAGCACCAAGCACATCACCAGTGCATGCCTCGACAAGGACAAAGAAAATGTCAAGCGTCCTGGCTCGGGAAACTGAGCACCGCGGGAAGTGCAGCGACAACACTTCCCAGTCCGCCGGAGTCGGCTGCCTTGCTAGCAGCCTCTCTCACATCCGGGGACACCGCGACAGTCGCAAGTTCTCGCGTTGAGTACGAGAACTATGTTGTCGAGCTGGTCCCACCGTTGAACCAGCCTCTCCACGTGCAAGATTCAAGCATATGCGCGACAGTTCCGCCGTCGGACGATGAACCGGTGGCTTTGCCAGCCATCTTATCGGAGGATCCGTCAACTTGGGCGAGACTTGAGGATCTCGACCTGTTGACGGTTGAGGACTTACAATGGTTGCCTCTGCCCTCCACCGGTTCTTTGCCAACTCCGCATTGCAATGCCTTAATGGCACATCTACGCGAATACTTGCACATTGCAGTACCACCTCCGTCGACGGACGGCGGAGTAGCGGTTGTTGAGCTTTGCAATTTTCTTGCGAAGATCGACTGCGAGTACGCAACGCAACGGTACGTCGACACCGACACACCGCTCCTCTACATCCGCATTCAGATCGGAAAGGTGACCTGCAGTGCCTTGATCGATTGTGGAGCGACTCGCAACTACATCAGCCAAAACTTCATGGCACGCGCCGGGCTAGGCCCGCGCGTTCGAAGGAAAAGTCAGCCTACGCACGTCACGTTGGCCGATGGTCACGCGCAAAAGTCAATCGACCGATGCGTTGACTCGGTGCCCGTGTCCTTCGCCCTGCTAGCAAGCGAGGCCGTGTCCTTCGACATATTGGACACCAAGTTCGATATGATCCTAGGCATGTCATGGCTGCAAAGCGAAGACCATCCGGTGAACTTCCATCGCCGCACCGTTCACGTTCGTGATCGGCATGGCGAACTAGTTCCGTGTACGGTGCCGCTTCCTCATCCTTCGATTGGTTGTCACGTGGTATCCGCGGCGAGCATTCGCCAATCCATCCGGCGAAATGACATCGAGGAGATGGGCATATGTTTTCTTCACGCCCTCCCACCCGGTGATCAGCCCAAGACGGATACGTCGGATCCACGCATCATTGAGTTGTTGGACAGCTATGGGGATGTCTTTCAAGCTCCCGCCGGAGTCATACCGGATCGGCCCATACGTCACGGGATCACTCTTGAGGACGACGCCGTACCTCCGCGCGGATGTATCTACCGCATGAGCGAAGAGGAACTTCAAGTGCTTCGAGCACAACTAGACGACCTCTTGGCCAAGGGTTGGATTCGCCCTAGCTGCTCGCCATACGGTGCTCCCGTTCTCTTCGTCCGGAAGAAGAACAAGGACCTTCGGTTGTGCATCGACTATCGTAAACTCAACGCACAAACGATCAAGAACGCCGACCCTCTCCCTCGAATCGATGATCTTCTCGAGCGACTCGGCGGCGCCAAGCACTTCTCCAAGCTAGACCTCAAGTCCGGTTATCACCAGATCGAGATTCAGCCAAGAGATCGGTACAAGACCGCATTCAAGACTCGGTATGGGCACTTTGAGTGGATCGTCATGCCTTTCGGTCTCACCAATGCCCCGGCTACTTTCCAAGCGGCTATGACGACGGAATTCCGCGACTTGCTCGACCGCTCCGTACTCATTTACCTCGATGACATCTTGGTTTATAGTCGGTCGCTGGACAAGCATCTCGAGCACCTTCGCGCCGTATTCGAGCGGCTTCGTATCGCCAAGTACAAGGCAAACCGCGACAAGTGCGAGTTTGCCCAGCAAGAGCTGGAGTACAAGCTATTCAAGATTGGTCGGACCTCAAGTGTACTACTGATGTCCGCTCCTTTCTCGGCTTGGCATCGTACTACATGCGCTTCGTCAAAGGATTTCAACGCATCGCTGCACCATTGTCACGACTTCAGTCCCCATTGGTGCCTTTCGAGTTTAGCGACGAGGCCCGACATGCGTTTCACACGCTGAAGACGACTTTGCTTCAAGTTCCCGTCCTAAACATCTATGACCCGACGTTGCCTACCAAAGTGACTACGGACGCTTCCGGTTACGGCATTGGCGCGGTTTTGGAACAGCATGACGACACAGACTGGCATCCGGTTGAGTATTTCAGCCAAAAGGTGCCGCCCATCAACACTCTTGATGATGCGAGGAAGAAGGAACTCGTAGCTTTTGTCTCCGTACTTAAGCGTTGGCGTCACTTTCTCCTCGGGCGTCGGCGATTCACGTGGGCAACAGACAACAATCCGTTGACATATTACAAGACGCAAGACACGGTGAGCAGCACGATCGGTCGGTGGATGTATTTCATTGACCAGTTCGACTTCACCTCCAAGCACGTTCCGGGCTCCTCGAACAAGGCGGCGGATGCTCTCTCGCGAAGACCCGATCTTTGTGCCATGGTGCATTCCACGTTCGGCCTCGACAAGGACCTCCAACAGCATTTCGTAAATGGCTACAAGTCGGATCCGGGATTCTTCACACTCTACGCGGACTTATCATCGGACCAACCGCCGACAAGCAACTATCGCATCACCGACGGCTACTTGCTCCTCCATACGCGAGGCAAGGACTTGTTGTGTGTTCCCCAAGACCGCATCTTGCGCACTCGCCTCCTTGGCGAATACCATGATTCGCGGCTGGCGGGACACCTTGGCGTCGCACGCACACTCGCACGACTCCGCCAGCGATTCCACTGGCCGGACATTATTAGCGACGTCAACCGGTACATTCAGTCATGTGCAGTTTGCCTCCGGAACAAAGGGCGCCATCAGCTCCCGTACGGCGAACTGAAACCATTGCCGATTCCTCGGGCACCGGGTCTCTCCATTGCTATGGATGTGACCGGTCCTTTCCCTCGCGATCGCCTTGGTCATGATGGCATTCTCACGGTCGTTGACCGTTTGAGCTAGTACCCTCGATTTCTTCCATGCAAGTATCATGCGACGGCTCCCGAGCTCGCACGACTTTTGCATACCGGCTGGTTTTGCGGCCACGGCGTTCCGGAAGACATCGTCAGCGACCGCGACACTCGTTTCATGTCGACCTTTTGGACGACACTCATGGTGGAATCCGGCACCAGCATGAAACCGAGCTCCGCACGGCATCCTCAAACGGATGGGCAAACGGAACGTGCGCATCAGACTGCGCAGATGATGCTCCGCACACTCATCCACCCGGATCAGAAGGACTGGGTTGGCCGCCTTCCCGACATTGAGTTTGCCTACAACACTTCGGTGCACCCAGCGATTGGCGTGACTCCATTCGAGTTGCACCACGGTGGACGGAAAGGACGTATCTTCGCAGACATTTTGCTTCCACGGGCTGCCGATATAGACGCCGCTTGCTCCCCCGCTTCTACACGGAAGTACAGGGAACTGCTGGCCAAAGCCCGCGCAAACATGCAACAGGCCCAGGTCCGTATGCAGCAGCAAGCGAACCGGCGTCGCATCCCATGTCCAATTCACGCTGGCGACCTAGTCTGGGTCGCCTCCGAGGAATTCGCGCTCGATCAGGACGTCTCGCGCAAGCTCCTTCCGAAGTGGTTTGGACCATGGATGGTCACTTCAGCAGCTGGCGACGACCCCGTGGGCCCATCATTCATCGTTGAGATTCCCCCGCATTTGACGGTCCACCCGATCTTTCACGCCTCAAAGCTGGCAGTTTACACTCCAGCCTCCGCAGCGGACTTCCCGGGCAGACGGTCACAGGACCCTCCTTCAATGGATGGTCATCAGGAGGTCGACCGCGTTCTCACACATCGCAAGCATGGCAACAAGCCGATGCAGTACAAAGTTACATTCAAGCAATGCGATCGGAACGACACACGCTGGATCTCAAGAGCTGATCTGAAGGCGACAGCCCCCTCATCTTGGCGCATTACGAAAAACAGCGACTTGCTAAGGAAGCTGCCCAACCTGCCCGCCCTGTACGGACATCGGACAGACAGCTTCGCCCTCGCAGTTAGCTCGGTCTTTCAAGGGGGGGAGTGTGTGGCATACTGAGCCACTCGGGCCCCAGTTAGGGCCCGGTTCCAAGACAGGCAGGGTTAGCCTAGGGGACACCGGTTCAGATGAGGCTCAAAAGGGCCTGGACCACAGCGGTTCAGGTAGGCCCAGGCCGAACGGCCACAAGGCCGGTACCGGTCCAGCCTAGGACCTACCGGCAGCGGTTCAGAGGCTGCCGTAGTTTAGGCGCCAAACCAGTTTCGAAACTGGACTGTCGATCTAGATCAACGGTCCAGGCCAGTAGGTACCAGTAGGCAAGAGGCCGGCCCAGCACTACAAAAGGCTGGGTACCAGCCTCAGTGGTTAAGTTAGTAGGTACGAGTTAGTCTGGAGGATTAGCGGAGCAGCCAAGCGTTAAGCAGATTAGCGCAGCGCTGCAGCAGCGAGAGCGGCCAGGAGACAGCGGCGCAGCGGCAAGAGGAACAGCGCAGCGGCCCAGTCGCGCCATAGCTACCAGCAGGTACCGGGAGGACGGCTCTGCCTTCTCTCCCTCTGTTCCTCTGCCTCGGCTCCCTCTCTCTCTCTCTCTCTCTCCCTACCTTCTCAGTCTAAGTCTACTCCTCCTACAGGACTACTACTACAGTAATGGAGATGGTTACGATTTCTGATGAMATCTGAGACAGCGACATTGAGAGTACGAGTTGAGGACTATTTTGGGATCTGATTCCATCTCTCCTTCGGAGATGTACTTGACATTGTGAGATCGACATCTGGGAGATTGTGAGACTTGGTATTCACGACATTTCGGATTTTCGTCACTTCTGACAGTTCAAGTTACTATCTTTGGAAACATTGAGTTGACATCATCTCCCCTCTCCTCCTCCTTCRTCTCTCTCCTCTCCCCMTTTCGTCCGTGTATGATTCCAGCCCCTGGCCCTTCRTCTCTTCTCAAGGCCAGGGCATTCACACCCGATGAATGTATGAGAGTTGTTCGATTGCAGTCCGAGTCAGGTCTGAGTCAGTCCAAAGGTATCATGCCTTCCACTGTATTTGTATCAACTCTGTATTATCTGGTCGGTTCTCGGAATCTGCGCCATACTTATGACTGTGTTTCACAAGTATGCAACAGCATGTGTATGTGAAGTTGGGAACGTGTGAATGCCATGCTGGCTTTGTTTTTAATCAGGCACATAGCACTAGTATCATCAGCACGCAGGTAAGTCAATTTAAGCTTACCACTCTCTCACTTTCTCTCCGCTCAGAAGTCCTGATCGCCCTCTTCCTTGATCTCTCTCTACTCTAGCCATGGTGCTTCTCTCCTTCCCCCCTGCCTCCTCTCGGAATCACTGTAGCAGCTCACTGTTGCTCGTGCAGTGTAGCCACACACTGTAGGATGTGCACTGCAGCCATGCACTGTCGCACGTGCGCTGTAGGAGTGCAAAGGAGAATGAATGAGCCGCTGGGTTTGGCCGCTCTTTTGTAGTAATGACCGGCCTTGGCCTGCCTCAGCTTGCCTTCTCCGACAGTGGAGATTTCTCGATCTGGGTGGCCCAAATTTGCTGTCGGTCTCAGTGTGCCTGGACCCAGTAGGCACTGAAACCCTTGGAACAAATGCAGACAACCTTTGATTTTGCGTCTGATCTATGGCCACAGTTGAATGCTGAGAAATATCTGACTCTTTGTCTGCTCAGGAAAGCACAATGCGCAAGAAGACCCCCTGTGCTTTGATTTGCATGGAAGCGCGGGTGAATGGGTGGGCGGGTACCATGTGGTTGCTGGAGGGGTAGATAGGTAACATTTGGATACCGTCCAGTTGCTGGAGGGGTAGATTGGTAAAAGTTGGGTGCCATGTAGTTGCTGAATGGGTTGATATATAATTGTTTAAATCGCCAAAAGTAAGAACTGGTTTCTTGCAGGTGTAGCTGCCTACCAATAGACTGGAGCCGTTGTTCTTCTTGGAAGAAAAATGATAAAAAGAACAAGAATAGTTCTTCTGACACCACAGCTGCAAATATTAAGACGATAGAGGAAAGCTCAGCATAACCCTTCAATGTGCATTTCGAGGGATATCACACATGCCTATAATGAAATGGTTTAAACCACAAAGAAAGAAAAAACAGTAAAAGAAAAAGGAAAGGTGAAGAAATGTCAATTAGCCAGTCCTGCAGACTGTCTGACTTCCTGGCTTTGTGTATTTTAAGAATGAGAGAGAAGAACAAGGGGTCTGGAAAACAAGTTCTGCTTGTGAAAGGAGTGTCAAAGCCACTTATCCATCCTTGATCCTATCTTTCTCCCGTATAGGATCCGAGGATGGACTTATCCATCCTCAATAAAAAATAGTACGCAAAGTGATACTCGATGGTAGTGCTGGGAATTTCCAGCCGCTCATCTGCCGTCAATACTTCCCCAATCAATAACACCGCAGTGGTGAGAACTGGGAGCTCCACCTTTAACTGTTCGCCCGGCAATGCATACTGTAATTGAAATTTTCAACTTTTTCTCCTCGCGCCTCCATCCGTAGGTACTGTAACGGAGTTAATTGAGCAGGGCGAACTATGCTATGTTCCCAAGCAGGAGCTATGCAACTGAAATGATGTCAAATCTTTTAATTTTTTTTTTTGGGATGAGAACTTCTTTGTCATCTTTAGAAAGTTTTACCCAGAGTTCCCCAAACTCAAAACGTTTGGCTGTTGTCATCTCTGTGCAGTGTTCTTCACTTTGCATGCACACACTCTACACGATGAACCAGTATCCGGGGCAGGCCGAGCTGGTGCTATGTTTGGAAAGCATGTAACCTGATCATAATAGTAGTCAGATTCGTGCTTCCACAGGATCAACATACCAGTGATGTTTGTGTTCAAGACTTCAAGTGTGTTTGGTTCCATATCGAAGGTCGCACTCACACTAGGACTTGACAGTTGTTTACATGTCCAAGTGTGTTTGGTTACCTAAGGGCACACTCACACTAGAGCTTACCTGGATGCATTTGACATTGTATATGACCAGGTGCAGTCCAGAAATGCTCTAGTGTGAGTTGCCCTTAGTTGTGTTGTTGTTTGCTCAGTGTGTGTGTGCAGCCCCTGCGATGTGTGGTTTGACAAAGAACCATAATTATTAACTGTGTAGCACGCCGAACATGTTCGGACGCTCAAGCGGGAACCTTACATGTTCGGCCAAGCGTGGAAAAAAAAAAAAAAAAAAAAAAAGGGGGGGGGCTGCTGAACGCATCCATGTGTGGCCGGTACCGGGGCCATTTTGGCCATTCCAGTCCCGGAGGGGGGGCTAGTGGGCGGCCACAGGTGTGTGTGTGTGTGTGTGTGTGTGTGTGTGTGTGTGTGTGTGTGTGTGTTATAGATTTTCCCCACAACAGCGCCAATTCCACCCAGATTAAGAGATTCAGAATCAAAGCAGTCTTTGTCCAGCAAATGCAGCAACTACATCCGATGCATCAGTTACTACTGCAGCTGTAGCTGTAGGTGCTGCATCAGCTGTGTCAGCAGATGTGTGTGTGTGCGTGTGTGTGTGTGTGTGTGTGTGTGTGTGTGTGTGTGTGTGCGTGTGTGTGTGTGTGTGCAGCAAACACAGCAGCTACATCAGGTGCATCAGTTGCTATTGCAGCAGCTGCTGTAGATGTTGCGTCAGCAGATATGTGTGTGTGTGTGTGTGTGTATGTTCAGGAGTGATGGGCGATGCCCCCCTGGCCCCCCCAACCCCTATATATATAAAGTGAAAATTTAAAATTAAAAAAAATAAAAATGTTTGGGCTCGGTCAATTTTGGGCCACGTTCGGGCTCGGTACCGAGCGTCCGGGTTTGGTCACCGAGCCCGAACGTGATGCTACGCACATTATTAATAAGTTTACTAAAATAAAATTTTTAACATTTCATTTCTGAATTCAACAAGGTTCGGTCTTGTTTATCATTCTCACGTTCGAACTTTGAACATGAGACTGGTTGGATCTGTTCTGGAAAGATTTCTTTGCAGGCGAGAGTTCTCATGTCACCTTTCCTCCCTGCTTTCTCTGTTAACTGGGTTTTGGCTTGGCATGCGATTGCTTTACTCTTTCTACTCTTCTGCCTCAACGATGGATGTCTGGGTGCAGGTGCTTTTGCACCATACCTCCCACCTGCGAGTTGAATTGTTTCTGAGGAGAGCCATGTCGATGCGGGTTACTGGATTCCGCCTGCCTATGAATCGCATCTTGGCAAGGTTAGTGTATGTCCTTCAATGCCGCATGCTTGACAATGAGAGAGGAGGAAGAAAAGAATGGGGAGAGGGTGGGGTATGAGTGTTGCCCCTTTGGAATGGGAAAGGCAGGGGGGCAGGGGGGAAGGAACTGAAGAGAGAATGCTAGAATAACTTAAATAAGAGCGATCAAACAAGTGCACACAGCCCTGTACACAAGAAGTGGAGAGAGAGAGAGAGAGAGAGAGAGAGAGAGAGAGAGAGAGAGAGAGAGAGAGAGAGAGAGAGAGAGAGAGAGATGTGTGTGTGCGCGCCTGTGTGCCTAACTATCTCCGTCCTTGTGTCTGTCTGCCAGTGTGTCCGCCTGTCTTCTGTGGTCTGTCTGCCAACTTGTCTGCCTGTCCGTTTGTCTGTCAGTCTTCCCGTCTGTCTGTCAGTATGTTTGTCTGCATGTCCATCCGTCTGTCTGTCTGCTTATGTCTGTCGGTTTGTCTGTCTGTATGTCGGCTGATTGGTCAGTCCATTGGCCCGTCCATCCGTTCATCTGTGTACTCACCCACTGCCCAGCTGCCACCCTCCCACCGTCCCACCTGCCGCACTGACACACCTGCCTGCCTCCCCACCTGCCTCCCTGCCAGCCTGCCAGCCTGCCTGGTTGTCCATCTGTTCCCAGGCCGGTCGGTCCGCCGGTCTATCCACCCTCCCATGCCCCCACCTTACCCCTTCCCTGTTCATGTTTGTGTGCCTCTCACCTCATGCTGAGTTTGTTGAGCACTGTTTTGGTCTATGGTCTGCATGTTTGACTATTCATGCACGAGGACAGCAAGTGGCAGGTAAGCAACTTACACTTGGGCCAATCGATTGCAAGAGGTGGGTGCAGAGGCACTCAGCCAGCCGGATGGCATTCTTCAGACTGGAAGATTAGCTGCAAGTCACAGTTCTCCACTGGGTGCAGCTGCAGGGTTGTGGATCCTGCAGCACACCACGAAGATCTGCTCGTTGAAGCCCGCCGAGTGTTTCCAGCAACAGGTTTGAGTCTCTGGCGGTCGTTGTCGGTGCCTGGGCATCAACATTGGACTAGGAACCTATCAAGTGCAGATCAGAGAGAAGCAGGAACTTTTCTGGGCATAGACTCAGCAAGGCAAGCCCTGCCACTCAACCGACCAAGGGGTGGCAGCTGCAGAATTGCAAGGGGGGTTCAGGACGTCATCAATCCTCAGCGACTAGTCTCAGGGTTTGCTACTACTGCAATGGCGAGTGTGGCTTCATCCCCTGCTGCGGCTGATGCCCCAATCAAGTCAACATTATCTGGGAGTGGAGTTGCAGTTCTGACTCTGGACCGTCCGCGTGCTCTGAATGCCATGAACCTGGGTATGGACGAAGAGTACAAGAGGCTACTTGATGCATGGGCAGCAGATCCCGCAGTTCAAGCTGTGCTTGTGGAGGGTGGAACCCCTCGTGCTTTCTGCTCTGGAATGGATGTGAAATGGACTGCAAGCGTAGTCAAAGCCGATCCTAGCAGTGACCTAGTGCCCAAGGTGTTTGCTGCAGAGTATGTGCTGATTTGCGCCATTTCGCGTCTCCGCAAGCCGTATATCGCCCTCATGGATGGCATTACGATGGGGTTCGGGTTGGGTCTGTCTGCACATGGGCGATACCGTGTGATCACAGAGCGCACAGTGATGGCAATGCCTGAGAATGGCATTGGTCTATTTCCCGATGTCGGATTTGCGCACCTTGTGGCGAACTCACCCGGTGGTGGAGCTGTGGGGGCTTATCTCGCTATGACGGGTGCGCGCATCAACACTCCGCAGGACATAATCTACTGCGGACTGGCGTCACATTACGTTCCGTCGGAGAGCATTCCTGCACTGCGCGAAGAAATTGTTCGGATGTCCTTCAGCACTGCTGCCAATAGAAGTGCAGAGTCAGTAGTCGAGGAAGTTCTAGGGCGGTTTGCGAAACCAGTTGAGGGAGAGCCGCAGTTGAAGAAACTCGTTCCCGCAATCAAGAGATGCTTTGGCCATGGCATAAGCGTTCAGGAAACGGTACAAGGGCTTCAGAGAGAGATGGAAAGCTCCGATTCTGAGGTTTCTGCATGGGCAAAGCAAGCTCTAGCAGGGGTGAGCAAGGGAGCCCCGTTCAGTCTTGTTGTGACGCAACAGCATTTCGCTTCGGTGGCGAGTGCGAGGGCAATGACAGGAGATGGGATTTCAGAACTAGCCGAGATTGAAGGCGTCATGCGAGCAGAATACAGGTTGGCGATGAGGACAGCGTTCAGGCCAGATTTTGTGGAGGGTGTAAGAGCTGTTCTCGTCGACAAGGATCAGAAACCGAAGTGGCAACCTGCAACACTTGAGGAGGTCGACATCTCAGAAGTGAAAGGATGCTTTGACCTGCTCGAAGAGGAAAAGGAATTGGAATTGCCGTGAGTTAGACTGCTTCATTGCATTATGATGAATGACCTGCGTTTGTGAATTTATACTCCCTTGTTGTCAGCCTATATTTACCAATTTGCCTTGAACGGACTCGATGGTCATCCGTTTGGCCCGGACAGCTCTGATGCCAGGTAATCAATTAGCTTCTCGTTCTACGTGGCCTGAAAATTGTCTTCCTGAGCACATGCTCAGTTCTACTTTCTTTTTCTTTTTGGTTTGCATGTGCATTTCCTCCGGAAGACAGCTTATTTCACTTCGGCACAGTTGTGTGGGGCTTGCTTGTGCACTTTTTGATTTGCATAAAAAATAAATGCCATTGTCACAATCTGTCAGTTAACACATTCGCTTCACATTAGCCAATGTGTTTCTCATCTTGATAGTAGTATTTGAAATCCAACTATAATTAAAACTCAAGCAGCCACAAAAAAAGCAAAAAAACAAAAGTCAGGTATAGCCAGGCAAGCTGGGCCCTCTCTGTGTTTGAGAACTGTGTGAGCTCTACTCCCGCAACAACCCAATTAATGAAGAAGGTGGGTGGGTGAGTGGTTGGGTGAGTCGGTGAGTGGGTGAGTTGGTGAGTTGGTGAGTTGGTGATTGGGTGGATAACTGCCTCTCCCTACGTCAAGAATCATTGATTCTTTCACATTGTATGCTACTTCGTCTTCTGGCACGTCGATTGAAGTTGCATGTGTCTTTGGCATTTGTTGTGTCAGGTAGTTGGTGTCTCTTGCATTCAAGCTTTTTGGGTTTTGTGAATGGCCCAGGTTTCTCTATCTTTCTGTCTGTCCGCCTATCCGTCCGTCTCTCTCTCTCTCTCTCTTTCTCTCTCTCTCTCTCTCTCTCTCTCTCTCTCTCTCTCTCTCTCTCTCTCTCTCTCTTTCTCTTTCTCTTTCTCTCTTTTTTTTTTTTTTTTTCTGTGTGTGTGTGTGTGTGTGAGTCCAAACCATACCGATGAGCAAAGAACGCATACGTGAGCTGTGAAAACAATAAAATATGGGTAGGATACAAGCATACTTGCGGCGCATCGCGTGTGCGGGGTCGCGCCACATGCGGCGTAGAGCGCACGTACACGCACGCGTGCGCACGTGATGCAGCGCATCACCAAAAAAAAAAAGAAAAAGGACAGGGTGGGGTGGCCAAACATGCCCCTCACTTCTGAAAATCAAACTGCAAGAGGCAAAAAAGTTGGGGCCACCCGATACCCCAACACTGTGAGCACATGTGTGTGCCTGTGGGTGTGCATGTCCTAATTGTGTCCAGTCTCATTTCCGAAGGGCCCCTACGAATTAGCAAGGACCCATCGTGGAGGAGAGATCTACATCTACATCTACATCTACACCTACTATAAGAACTGCTAAACGTCATATCTCACGGCCTGAATCGAAGGCCGGTAATGCGCCGCGGACGGCCCAGATCGCAGGCCGATCAGAAAGTTTTCTGATCGGCCTGCGATCTGGGCCGTCCGCGGCGCGTTACCGGCCTGCGATTCA